GGCTGCGGGACCCCGAGCGGGAGCCCGGGCCGGGGGCAAAGCGGAGCCCTGGGCCGCCCCGGGGGTCTCCACCGGGATAACGCCGCCCGCGCACGCAGCGGCCGCCAAAGCCCAGGCGGACCCTGCCGGGCTCCGTGCGTCAGGAAAGGCGAGTTTCCTCCGGCGTGGCCCCTTGGCGAGTTGGGCCGACTGCCCGCGTTCAGCATTTATGGTGCAGAGATGTAGCTTGTCACCATTGTCACTGCAGCCGGCCCCAGGAACACCGGCCGTTACTCTCCTTCCGCTGCTGGCACTGAAGATCATCTCTTCTCCCCCGGCTTTGCAGGTTAAAGGCACTACTGGGAAGGAAAGCGGCTTCCAGCAAGCCGCACAGTAATGCTGGAGCTGTACAAAGAGCAGGGAGGAGTTGTTCCCCAAAAGCAGCTGTGAAATTTCTCATGTCTACAAACACTTGTCACGCTGCAGCATCAAGGCTGCAGGGTTAAATCGTGGAAATACCTTATCTCGGTAAGTTCTTCCCCCCACTGCTTTTTTATTCTCCATTGTTATTTCCACAGGGAGAAGATAATTTCACTTACTGTCCAGCAACAGGCCTAGCTAAAGGAAATGAGCACTCGGAATTCGCTGGCTGGGCATTTCCATTTCCAGGGGTGTTTCTGACGGAGGAGTTCATTAGCGAAGATGAAGAATCTGAGATAGTTGAACTGATGGATCAAGATGACTGGAAACCATCACAGTCTGGCCGAAAGAAACAGGTTTGTCTTTAGAAGCATATTTGTTCCTAGATCCCCTGGAAAAGGAAAGCTGTTTTCAGTTAAAACCCAAAATATTTACATGTTTCATTAAATATTTTCTTTTGAAAGCTTTTCTTGAAATTATTTGCAAGAATTACTTGTACTTAAAGTCAACTTCTTGCAAAAATAAGATAGTTACAACAAACTAGTTGATGGTGCATGTTCAGGCACTAAAAGCTCACGCAAACTCCAAGTGAAAGAAGTGAGCCTTTTGGTTTGTTTTTACTTTGCAGGTGAGAAATCTCATTCTGGAGAGACTAATGTTGCATCACTGAGTCCTTTTGCAACTTGGTGACCAGGTCACTGGAAGACGTGAGAACAGAACTCAAAAAGTCTTGACCATAGAATCATAGAACGGTTTGGGTGGGAAGGGACCTTAAAGATCGTCTAGTTCCAACCCCCCTGCCACGGCCAGGGACACCCTCCCCTAGATCAGGTCGCTTAAAGCCTCATCCAGCCTGGCTGGATCACTTCCAGGGATGGGGCAGCCACGACTTACGACAGCCTCTCCAGAAAACACTTATTCTGGACTTTTCCTTAACACTAGCTTTTTCCCCACTCTTCTTTTCCAACAGGACTATGGACCCAAAGTGAACTTCAAGAAACAAAAGCTGAAAGCTGACAGCTTTACCGGTTTGCCAAGTTTTAGTAAAAAGATTGTGGCACAAATGAGAGCCTGCTCTGTGCTTGGGGGTTTCTTACCTGTTGAACAGTGCAATCTGGACTACATGCCAGAAAGAGGTTCTGCCATCGACCCACATTTTGATGACTGGTGGCTCTGGGGAGAGCGTCTGGTTAGCTTAAACTTGCTCTCAAAAACCGTGCTGTCCATGTCTTGTGATTCAGAGGACAGTATCCAATTATTTCCCACTTTCAGTAAAGAAAATGGGGAATTAAGTCCCCCTGGATCTTTCACGCAGACGTCAGTGTGCAAAAATTCAGGCGAAGAGGGAATCGGCTGCATTTTATCCCGAAGGCTTGTTCCAAGTGGAGAGGTGACTGTTGCCATTCGCTTACCCCGGCGGTCTCTGGTGGTGCTGTACGGTGACGCGCGGTACAAGTGGAAACACGCCATTCACCGCAGGCACATAGAGCAGCGCCGCGTCTGTGTCACGTTCAGGGAGCTGTCTGCGGAGTTCAGCGCCGGAGGAAGGCATGAGGAACTGGGGAAAGAACTGCTAGGAATAGCTCTTTCGTTTAAAGGAAGGCCAGTGTGATCAGCAAGAGGGAGCCAGAATTGCATTTTGTTAGGAAACTTGAAAAATAAAAGTACAGAATTTATACAACTGTTTATTTCTGACGTGTGTGCAAGGAGGCAGGTGCGTACAGAGATAAGCTCATCAAATGGAAATGTAACAAACAGAAATAAGAGAGTCCAAGGAAGGGGTGGGCTGCTTGTTTCTTCAAAGACCCTCCTGGGCAATGGGAGCTTTCAGGCGAAAGTCAAAATGAGCTGTTGTACTCATTAGCTGTATTGTAACAAAATGCAAAAAGCAAACAGCCAGTTCTTAAATACTCACATTAAACCAAGAAAGAAACTTAGAATCATTAAACTGAGATGAGTACAGATCCAGCCCAAGCCTTGCAGCAGATTTTAACCTTTCCTAGCCCATACTTGGTTCTGTCATACTGCTTGTAGTGCTGCACTGTGCCGTAGGGACACAACCGTCTTCTCACCCACTTCAGATAGGTCCTTTAGAGATCAGCTCTCCAGGGGAGAAGGGAAAGCAATCATCTCTCCACAGATCGCACAACACACTGAGAACTAATTAAAGTAATTATCCTTTGCTGAAGTTTCATGCTCTAACAGTGAGGATTAATCATAAATAAATCATAAATACTGTGTGTGACCTGTATCTTCTGGGACCCAACAGCAGCGTTCGCAGAGGGCCAACTCTTCTGCAGAGACCGCTTGGACGGAGTTCAGGCCAAAGACTTGCACAGACTGTGTTATTTTCTGATCATTTGTCATCTCTGAACCCCGCTGTCAACTCTCAGCAGCAAGAGTCTGGTTTTGGGAATAAGCTGGGCAACAGACTGCAACACTGGCGGCTCTCATTTTTTTTCTTGGCACCTCCAGCAGTCAGGTTTGAATCATGCCTTGTACCTAAGATTCAAGTAGTCATTGGTAGCAGAAGCTGATCTGCGGCCATCTGTCTGCTCTGAACAAACTTCTGTGCTCTTGAAAATGAAGCTGTGCTGTGGAAGAAGTGTGATCTTTTAATAACCGCAGCCATGTCATCAAAACCAGTCAGCACAGTCACACCTATGGCAGCAAAACACCACTTGCCAGCGCTGCCTGGTTTTGGTTGGTGAGGACAGGGGAGACGTTTATAGACGGGATCTCGGCGTCCCTGCACAGCTGTGGTCTGCGTTCTAGAGGTACTGCCTTGGCACAACGCGCAGGTTTTGGTGTGCAGTAATGTCCTCGTGCCACAGACACTGCCCAGGTTTTGGTGTAATGTACTCGTGCCACAGACACTGCCCTCCGCTTCAGGCACTGCGAGGGAGAGAGCTCTTCACCCAACAAAGCAGCTACTAGAAATCAGGATATTTTTTTCATCAGTTTAAGCTAACAGATACAACTGCAGTCCTTTGTGGCTGCAATGAACCAGTTTCGGTTTAGCCCAGTATTTAAGCAGTTGTGGACATCCAGGACAGGAATTATCCTGTGGTAATTCCAACAGGGACCCGTGAGCAGGGCTCCCGTGGGCAGTCCAAAACCCCAAACCTCCATCCAGACCAGCTGGTGAGCGTCACAGAAACCTGTCACTGCAAACATGGCCAGCGAACATGCAACAGGCAGGTCACGCTCGCTCACAGTGAGCTTTATCCCAGGAAATTTCTCATAGGCTGTAACTTTTCCAGCTCACTCCCAAAAGCAGGGCCTCGTGCTCTCAAAATAGTGGTTCCTAACCTTTTTCCGGCAGACTGGTGGGATCAGCACCGTGCTGCTGGTGTCCACAGGGCTCGGCAGCCGTCGAGAGCGTGACGTCCCCACGCCAGCACCCTTGGAGCAGAGGACCTTCAGCCAGGGAGGAAGACACGGCTGGCAGCCTGCTGGAGCTCAGCACAAAGCCACGCTATGGGAAGAAAGCCAGGGCAGGCTTCCGTGGGTCAAGCAAGTGTTGAGCCCATGTCCTCATCATCCCTTCAGTACTGAGCCTCTCCAGCGATCCGCCCTGTGCTCAGCAAACCGCGGCAGTCGAGTACTTCCATCGATGTTTGGCCCTTATTTCCAGTGCTCCCTTTCAGATTCCTGTCCTGCCCTCAGCCGGCTAAAACACTTCCTGCACGCGTACCTGCTGTTTCGCTCTCTCCGCAGTGAAAGCAGATGATGGCTTCTGATGAATCACAGTGCCACAATTACAAGATACACAATATTAGTTCTTTTTGTGCTCTGCGTTTGTTAGCTGAATTTTTCTGTCTCGATCGAACTATTCGGGAAGCTGCCGTTGTTGCCAGAAAATTCCAGCTCTTCCTAGTTGATATCTTGAATTTGAAAAAATGCAAATAGTTAAACACTGAGCTAAAACCTGAGGGCTTTGTCTACATCTTTTTGAAGTCCAAAACTTAATCTAGTCACTACGCAGTCATTGCTGTGTCTATCTTTTGACATTTTTCACCTGTTAAACAGCCTCTTGGGCACCACGTTAGATCAAAATGCAACTACACAGCCATCGGTTCTGTACGACTTTCTAAAACTTTATGTACATTCTCTCCTACAAAGCCAGAATCGCAGCACTGCAGAACATTAACAACTGGTTTGGACTGTCAAGTACCATCGAAATCTGAGAAAAGTATAAAGAGGTCTTAATCTTAATTAATTAGCTCTTAAAAGTAATTTTGGTCACTGTGCTAGTATTATTAATGTAAGATAAACTTTAATGGTCTTCATGTTGTAGGAATTCCTATCGCAGCTCTTTACCTCCTTAACCAAATTAGCACTTGTAAAACATGCTAAGAACCAGACCCTCCTTAAAAGGAAACACATCTAATTGTTATCTACTTGTGTGTTTTAGAGGGAGAAGGATAATATCTGACCGAGCTTTTTTTAAAAAAGGGCAAAACCAAGTTAACCCAGAGAGGATGCTGGAGGACATGAGCTGCCTTTCAAAAAAAATCAGTCTGAAATCAGCAAGAAGAGTAAAACTTAGCAAGTTTATCCAGTTTCTCTCACACAGCTGGACAATAACTGAGACACATATGTTGTTCTACATTAAATATTGTTCATGCAGAGATAAAACAAGAATCGGCAAAGCTAAAATACAGAGGTGTTTTTTTTTTTCTCCTCCTAGCACTTAGCACTCATGGTTGTTACAGCCCTGGGCTGCAACAAGCTCCCAGTCGTACACACAGGTATTCACGGGAACGCTTTCCAAATTCAGCACGTTGGAAACCACGTTGTTTGAAATGGGTACAGAGGACACCGCCTGCGAGAAGTTAATCAGAAAATAACCACGCTGGCCCAGTTGTGCCGGGGTCTGAATTTGAGGTTGTGGCTCAGGGGGGTGTTATCGAGGCAGCTGCCTTAAAAATAGACACAAAAAGATTTAGAAGATTACGAAGCTGCAGCAGCAGGGAAACTCGAAGGCCTTTTGTTCGTTTGCTTTAAGGCAGGGAAAGCAGAGAAAGGACATTATGAAATCCCAGGTAAAGCCAGGGAAAGGCAAGAGGAGAACATGGAGTGCGAGCAACCAGTCCTACAACTGGTCGGGCATCCTGCACCTCTGTCCCCGAGCCCAGCGCAGATGTCCCTGTGGCAAACTGGGATTGCCTGTCCTAGAGTCCCAGTGCCAGGGAACCGAAGGATGTTCGCTCTGTGCCTGCACCTGCCCCACCAGCTCTCCATAAACACTTCCACATATTTGAGTGCTTACCGCAGAGCACGCTCTGCCCAGTGCTCCCGCCCCGTATCGCTTTCATCCGTCACGTGAGTCAGGCCCAGACGGTCAAATCCAACATCTACTCCATCTCCCCTGGTCATAAAGCCTCCCCGAGAATCACGTATCCACCGAAACAACGCGGCGGCAGCTACCAGAGCCAAACCTGCCCCGGGGCGACGTTAAAAATATGGAGCTCGCAGAGTAAGAGCTGCCACTAACCACAGCAAAGGGAGAACCCGACACCGCTCCGGCTCCGACAGCTCCCTCTGGCTCGTGTTCATGCCCGGTCTTGACTCGTGCTAACAAGGCAAGGAGAGACAGGAGTCACCTTCTAAACCAAGGCAGGTGCCCGAGGACGATACGGAGCAGGGCCGTATCCCTGTCCTTGACAGCTCCTGCCCTGCTTCAGAAAGTCCCTCCAGCGCTGGAGCACGCAGAGGTATTTTTCTGCCTGGCAAAAACCATCCACAAAAATCTAGAAGGAGGACTCAGGACTTCGGAGCGAGATCGTGGCTGTTCCCTGCAGCAAGCCAAGGCGATCTCCACTGCATAAACCAGAGAAATGGCCCAAACAAGGCAACAACTGGTCCGGAGAGTCACAGCCCAAAAGGGAGCTGGGATTAGGGCAACAGCCACCCCAAACTACAGCATCCCGGGGCCCAAGGCTGGTGCAGAAAGCTAACAAAGATACCAGGGCAGATCCTGCTGACAGCCACGGGGCACCAGAAGAACAGAGGATCTTCTGGCGCTGTAGCACAGAAGCACCCGTCGGGACATGTACAACGTCCCTGCTCCTTTACGGATGAATCTACCGTGGCCGATACCTCAAGCAGTCTTTGCACAACACAAGTCTGGACCAAACAGCGGTGAAAACACCAACAAGTTGGAGGAAGAGAGGCAGGAGTAAGAAAAGCAAATGCTGCTGTTGGGAAAGAAGGAGGAGAGGAGTTACAGCACGAAGGTGATGGGTAACCTAGAGAGATCCCAGGTGCCAAAGAGCAAAAATACTCCCGTGGGCTCCTCATGGAAGGGAGAACTCGGTGCCCAGAGAGACACAAGAAACAAAGCTGTGAGCAAAGATGGGAAAGCACGTGATTATTCCGTTTTAAACCCTCGGGACACCATCTCAAACCGCACCTCAGGCTCCCCGCTGCAGCAAGGCGATCCCACTCCAGTCACAGACTCGCTGCCCTGAGACTTATCTCAAATTCAATCCCACCAAAGCCTCACCAAGTTATTCTACAAAAATCAAAGCACAGTTTCTGCTGCATTTCTCCATTTGCTGAAGTTTATTATATTTGCAAAGAATTAAAGGAACAATTTGGCTGTTT